CCGATGTCTTTCTTGTATATGAGTCAAACCTATCCTCATGTTGCCGGTGAGAACACTGCCACTGTTGGAGTTGCAGCGGCGACTGTAGATGAAAAAAATGAGAAAAATGAGAGGGAGGAGGTTGTTAGAAGATTAAAGACTTAAAAAAAAAGAGAGAGAGAGAAAATGGAAATGGGCCAAAACAAATATTGCTAAGAATTTGATCGTTCTCACCGTCAACCATCAAAATCCAGATTTTCTCCTCCGTGTGAGGAAGGTGTTACCGGTCAGTGGAAGGGAACGAGGGAGGGGTAATATTGGGTTTTAAAAGAATTTTAAATGTCACATGGTCTCACGTGTATTCGGGTTTTGACAGAATATTAATAGATGTTGACAGTAAGGGTAGAGTTAGTTAATTGTTAAAAACAATAGGGGTAGTGTTAGTCAATTTTCAAACAATAAGGGTACACTTAGTCAATTAGCTAAACCATAAGGGTAGTTTAAAAAATTTACCCTTTTATTAATTAATAATGAACAAAAAATTGAATATCAGAAAAATATGAGAAATTTAAATTAGTAAAATCAGAAATTACTATGATTAATTATTCTAAAATCACATAATTATATTCTAAAGGGAAATTGTCTAAAATTCACCATGAGTTTTCAGAATCTCTTAAACTCATCACAACTTTTCAAAATGTCTAAAACTCGCCATGTCACTAACTTGACGTTAAACAAACTAATGGGTGTTAATATATTACCATTTTAACCTTCATAGAAAAATACAAAATATATACAAAATAAATTAACGGGTGTTAATATATTACCATTTTGATATTTAGACGTGAAAAAGGAAAAAGAGTTCAAAACAATATTTTCAAATATAAAATACATAAAAACAAAGGAATTACAAAAAAAATATAAAATTATAGAAATTGCAAACAAACCAAAAAATTATTTTCAAATTATAGAAACTATAGAAATTGAAAAAAAAATTGTAGGAAAAACACCAAAATTATAGAAAAACACAGAAATTATAAATGAATAACAAAAGTACAGGAAAATTTATGGATTGTAGAAGATTTTAAAATATAAGCAAATAGAAATTATAACAAAGCACTAAAACTGCAAAAAAAAACAAGAAAATTGAAAACTGAAAAAGATCATTTTTCCTCTAACTCACCATTCAATGTTAATTTGGTCACAAAAATTGTTATTTATGCTGACATGGACACCTCTGTTAAGAAGCATTAACGGTGCACTAACGGAAGGTGAATTTTGAAAAATAGAAACTTACTGACATGGTGAGTTTTAGACATTTTGAAAAGTTGTGGTGATGAATTTAAGAGAAATATTGAAAACTCATGCTGAGTTTTAGACAATTTCCCTATTCTAAAACCTGCATTATTAATTTTCTATTGTTAACAGAAAATTTCTAGTAATAAGTTGACGTTAATTTGATGTTAATTAATGACTGGAACAGAGAAAAATCACTGTATCAATTAAAAAAAAACCCTATCTTTTACTTAGCACTTGCTCTCTTCTTCCTCTCAATACAACTGATGATCTTGAAAATGAGCGGAGTAAAACATCAAACCCATCACAATAATGAAAAACAAACAGTGCGGTTCATCAACAGCTCGATGGTTCAGCCATCAATGCACGCCTATCTTCATTTTTTTTTTTCGATTTCATAATAAATATGCAATTTCCTTTGCTTTTGTTTTAATTTTTTGTAATATATGCACATTTTAAAGATTTTATAACGAAAATTTTGATATATTTTGTAAAACTTAAAGCACATTGTATATATTTTCTATCCTAATATAATACCTACATTACAAAAACAAAATAAATAGGATAAAATATAGAAAAAATACATGAAAACTCAGGGAATATGGGAAACAGAAAAGACAAGAAGAAATGTAAATTGTGAACTAGTATTTCAATGTGAGAATTTTAGTAATTTAATGAGGCATCTAGTACAGATGTTACTTTGATATCTTTTCTCTCAGTCCACTGAACTTCAAATGGGCATGTTCATAATATTACTTTTACAGTCAAGCCTGTTAATGAGCTGGGGCAAAATGCGAGAATCTGAAAAGTTCAGAGGGCTAAGTGCCATACTATAATTTACCCAAGATCATTTTATAAGGTTACCTCCTTTACAATTACAAATTCAAGATTTTAGAGAGAAGGATAAAGAGAATTTTGGAGTGATTATCTGTCATCAGTCAGAAAATTAACTAGGGTTTTCGTTACTTCTTCACGTATGAGCAGAACAATCATATAAAGTAGTGTTTTTAAAATCAGACCAGTTCACCCCAAAACTGTTTTTGGCAAAAAATCATTGATTTGGTCAGTAAACCACTAATTCAGGTGGTCAAACCATTGAACTGTAGATTCAAATATTGGTTTTTGGTTATTTTTGTCAGAATAAACTATCCGTTTGGATCAGATGATTAAACCGTTCGATCCAAGAACTGATCTCCAAAACGTTTCTGTCCAGTGCGTTTTTAAAAACCTTGATATAAAACCATATTTTCTTTATTTTAAAACGAAAAAAAAAATAGCACCAAGTTGGCCATCACTTGAATGCTTTTGACCAAATACTGGGCTAAATGGACTAGACATAGGGGTGGCAGTGGGGTGATTTGGGCGTGGATTGTGCTTCAACCAACCCATCTAATCCAACCTACTAGCAATTCATTTAAAAGAAAGGTAAATGGGTGAAATCCAAGACAAGCCGACCCTACTCTAACCCAACCCAACCTACCCTATATTTGTCAAGTTGAGCTAGTTAAAAATAACCAGAATTGGAAATTCATTGGAACAATTTGTGCTTTCCAATTTCGTTCATGCAATTTACCCAATGGGTACCCATGACTAAACCTAACCCACTAAATTCAATTCATCTAAATCAATCCAATGGGTGATTCAGCTCATTTCCAACTTTTAAGTGAGTGAGTAGGTTTAGGTTTATATAGGTGGTTTTTAAGTGGGTGGGTTGGATGCTAACATGGGTCACGTCAGAAATTGCCACCCCTAGTTAAACATTACAAGCCTAGATAGAGAAAAATGGCTAACCTATCCACCTAGGAGACACCAGGAAGTGAAAGAAACTTACAGTCATCATCTAATTAACAATCATAAATAAAAGAGGTTTCCTTAGAACTTATCAACACTTATTTCAGACACAAACCAGATTCCAGATGAGGAACGATAAAATCTGGAACCAACAGCTAGTGAAAGAAGATTGCACTTAGCAGAATACATGATTACCATATTCACAAATATAGAGACAAATTGAACCCAACACCATATAAGTTGGAAGAATAGCTTCTGCAATCAGCCATGATATATCTGAATCAACAAGGAGGTTTAGCCGAAGGCTCCAACAAAAATTTTGTAATAATTATTTCTCTTTAGGTAAATATTTATTAAAGAAAAGAATAAAAAAAAAGAGAATATACAATAGACAAAGCTCATCCAAGTGAAGCCTATCACAGGTGAGCCCAGGATAAAAACCAACTGGGCCTAAACCAATTCAGGCCCAAAGATCAAGACTAATCACATGCATACAACTCCAAACAAAGGACAACCCAAAATAAGAACCACCTTATAAACCGAAAAGAGAAAAACAAGGGTCCAAAAAGAGCCCAGGCCGACCAGAAAACCATCTCCACAGTCGTCATACAGAAACCTTTCTTCCCCTACCTCTGGTACTGCAGCCTCTTCGGTTATGGAATGGCATTTGGCCACTCAATTTCAATCGCAAGGAGCAAGAATTTTCTGAGTGTAATTGCGTCAATTTCGAGAGTGGTGCCATGTGGGGTGGCTGCACCTTACTCCCCAGGAAAGAATTGTCCTAGTGTGTGTAGACGTCTAAGTTTTGGGCCAAAGTCATTGGTTTAATTTACATGTGACACTTTCTAAATTAAAATGGGCCTTCATGGACCCAGGGTCCAATTATACATAAATGTGTCCCATGGTCCAAGGGTCCAAATGTATCAAGCCCAATTAGGTTCATGTATTATTATATGTGGTTCCAATGGCATAACCACTAACTCCTACGTTAGCATGTGTAAGAATTAATCTTAACACAACATAAGTGGACTGAGATGGAAGTCCAAATCCTAGGGTGTTTGTTCATGGTTTGATAAACTGAAAAATGGGGTATTTTTTTTTTTAAATTGAAAAGGTACTATCGGTTTTTGAAAATCCCCGAACCAAAATCAAACTGAATCAACCAGTTAATTGGTTAATTTCAGTTTTTAACTAAAAGTTGAAAAACGAAAAGCGAAAATAACTGGTGATTCACTTTCGAGCTTTTGAGCCGATGTTGAGCTCATCAAATATTTAATTGAGTCAAGCTTAAATTAAAAAATAGATTTCAAATTGAACTCGAACTCAAATTCAAGCATAATTGTATTTTAACCAAGACATACAGGAATTCGACTAACTCGTCTCAATTGCACCCCTAATTTTAAGGTGTCAGCTTTAAATAATTATTTCTTTCCATTAATTATGCCCACCCACTCATTTAGGCTCAGTTTGGAAGGAGTACAAATACAAATACAAATATATAATGCAAAACCTTATATTTTATATTAATTTGTATGTATTTATAGGATACATATTTGTATTTATACTCTTTCCAAACTGAGCCTTAAGGAATTAAAGGAGGCTCTATTTAGTGTGGTAGTGGTAGTATTAATTTTGCTTTACCAGCCCGCAAATTAACAGGCTAGGTTAATTTGTATTGTGGCCCCCGTTTGTATTGTGCGCCAACTGTGATGAGTTAAGAAGCATTTATGTGTATTTCAATTTGAAGTTCAATTTAGTTAAATTAAACCGGTGAGTGGTGACCGACACACCATAATAATTGAGGTTGTTGCCTAAGTCAGAGCTCATTAATTTATGTGTGCCATCCCACTTGGACTGCTAGCTTTCAGGATCAACTGTTGTTCTTTAAAACATATATAGAACTACTACGTACACTACTAGCTATTGCCAGAGTAATGGGAAAAGCAAGCATCCTCTCTCCTGTTACTGTATTATTGTTGGTTCATTCATGTATAGCGTGGTTGGTTTCTTCTTCATCTTCAAACACCACTGATCAGTCGGCTTTGTTGGCCTTCAAAGCCAGGATAACTTTGGATCCTGATAACACTCTGGCCACTAATTGGACCATTGGGTCTTCCTTCTGCAATTGGATAGGTGTCAGATGCAGCAGTCGTAGGCAAAGAGTGACCAGCTTGGTTCTTTCTAACATGGGTCTCAAAGGCACCATCGAGCCACAGCTGAGCAACCTTTCCTTCCTCCAGGTACTTGACCTCAGCAACAACAGTTTCCATGGCCAACTTCCATATGGACTCGGCCATTTGCATCGCTTGAAGTATCTGCATCTTGAGTACAATCAGTTTACAGGAAATGTGCCAAGAGAGCTAGGTATGCTCTCTAAGCTCCTTTGGCTGTCTCTTCATAATAATAGTCTTAGCGGTGCTATCCCACCTTCCATTGGGAACATATCAATGTTAGCAGCTCTTGAATTGAGTTCAGACAACCTAGCTGGGCCTATACCAAAGGAGCTTGGCAATCTAGTTAATTTACAGCTACTGTCGTTGGAACATAACCAACTAACAGGTGTCATTCCTTCTACCATATTTAACATTTCTGTCTTGCGTTACCTTTTGCTTCAAGATAACAGCATATCTGGTAGTCTACCTATGGACATTGGACGTCAACTTCCTGAGCTTCAATGGCTTCTTCTTTTTAAGAATCAATTTAGTGGCTACATCCCATCCAGTTTATGTCAATGTGGAAAGCTTTTGAAAATATCATTAGGACGCAACAACTTCATCGGAGGTCTACCCAGAGAAATTGGGAATTTGTCTAACCTTGTAGGACTATATGTTCACCACAATGCTTTGACAGGTACTATTCCACCATCTATCGGTAATCTTTCAAACCTATTAGAACTTGACATGGGAAACAATAACTTTGTGGGTGTCATTCCTAAAGAAATAGGGCACCTGGAGAATTTGCGATTCATGAGTTTCCAGGACAATAATCTTAAGGGGTCAGTACCAGAGGAGATTTTCAATATATCCACTCTTGGAGTAATGGCTCTCACGGATAACAGTTTCTCTGGGAATCTTCCAGCAGGTATTGGTAATTGGCTCCCCAGGATTACAATCTTGTATTTAGGTAACAACCACTTTAGTGGAAAGTTCCCAGCTTCTATTTCAAATGCTTCGCAGCTGACTTCTCTAGAGCTAGCCAACAATTCTTTCTCTGGACCAATACCTACATCGATAGGAAATTTGCGAAACCTCCAAATTCTCAATCTGGCGGGTAATCTACTAGAGGATCAACCTAACACCCAGGAAATTGTATTTCTCACCTCCTTGACCAACTGCAGATTTTTGGAACAGATTGAAATAGATTCGAATCCACTGAATGGCTTCTTGCCAGATTCAATTGGAAATCTCTCCACTTCTCTTACCATTTTCACGGGAGCCTCATGTCAGATAAGAGGCAACATACCTAAAGGACTTGGTAACTTGAGTAATATAATCACATTGAATCTTGGTAGTAATGAACTCAGCGGAACCATTCCATCAACAATTGGAGGGTTAGGGAAGCTTCAAAGGTTATATCTAGGTCATAACAAAATACATGGATCCATTGGCAATGATCTTTGCTCTTTGAACCAGTTGGGGGAACTGTATCTTCATGGAAATAACTTGTCTGGACAGCTACCAAACTGCATTGGGAATCTTAGTAGGCTAGAAGTCCTTGACTTAAGCTCCAATATACTTACATCTCACATACCTTTAAGCCTATGGAGTCTTTCAGACCTTTTGACTTTGAACTTGTCTCATAATTCTCTATATGATAATCTTCCTCAAGAAGTAGGAGACATGGATTTTTTAGAGTTACTTGATATGTCCTGGAACCATTTATCAGGTAACATTTCAAGTACCATCGGTGGCCTCCAAAGATTAAAATATCTCATTTTATCAAGAAATTCATTGCAAGGTTCTCTTCCACAGTCCTTCGGTAATTTGTTGAGCTTGATATCCATGGATCTCTCTTTCAATAATCTGTCAGGAAACATACCCAAGTCATTAGAGAAACTCCCATTTCTCAGCTTTTTGAATCTATCATATAATAAGTTTGAAGGGGAAATTCCAAGCAGAGGACCTTTTGTGAATTTCACAGCACAATCTTTCATGGGGAATGAAGCACTCTGTGGCTTGTCAAAACTAAGAGTTCCACCCTGTCCCCCTAAGGCTACAAAATCAAGAACAAAGTTTCTTCAGCTTAAATATATTCTTCCCACTTGTATATCCATTGTGATCCTTGCTGTTCTCATATCTCTACTAGTACTGAGGTATCGACTGAAAGGAAAGCATGCTCCAGTACAAGTTAATTCGTTAACTGAAGTGAATTATAGAATGATCACATATCAGGAGCTTCTTCGAGGGACTAATAACTTCCACAACGCAAATTTGCTTGGAGTAGGGAGTTTCAGTTCTGTATACAAAGCAACATTGTCTGATGGGATGGTTGTTGCTGTGAAAGTTTTTGATTCGCATCTTGAGGGGGCATTTAAGAGTTTTGATGCAGAATGTCAAGTGATGCGCAGTGTTCGACACAGAAATCTAGTCAAAATCATCAGTTCTTGCTCTAACCTTGATTTTAGATCTTTAATTATGCAGTTTATGCCAAATGGGAGCCTTGAAACATGGATACATTCTCAGAACTATTTTTTGAGTCTCCTCCAAAGAATAAACATTATGATAGATGTTGCCTCAGCGCTGGAATATCTTCACTACTGCTATTCAGAACCCATTGTGCACTGTGATCTGAAGCCAAGCAATGTCCTCCTTGATGAAGACATGGTCGCACATGTGAGTGACTTTGGCATTACAAAGATATTAGCTGAGAAGAAGAATGCCACACAAACCAAGACATTGGGCACCATAGGCTACATTGCACCTGGTAAGATTTCTACTTCCATTAATTATTCAGATTTCATCATTAATAGATTGTTATAAATTTCTGCGTATTTATAACTGTTATTTTTAACCTTTAGCTTATAACTACTTAAAGTTTGAGCAGAGTTTAGAGATAATTTGAATCCAACGTCTAGCAGTTTTTTTTTTCTTGGTAAAGAACATTTAGCAGTTTAAGGCTACCAGATCAATTCAATGCAACTATCCTACTAAGCCACTTGACCTATGAGATAAAAAAAGGAAATTAGAAATTTTCATATATGGAAGATAACAAAAGTTATAAATTGAATAAAGACTTCAGTTACACAAAATACCATTTTCACAATTTTTTAAGTATGCAAAGTGATTAGTCGAGAAAGAAAAAAAATGGATATTAAATAAAACTAGTAAGCATAAGCAGGTGATAATTTTTTATGATGATGACACTAAATAATATGTTACTAAAATTTTATACAATTGTTTATATTTTTATATCCATAAAAATTATTCTTATTTGTTACATTTATTTTTGTTTAATATGATAAAAATGTGATATTAGAGATGTACCCAAATGTTTTCCATAATTTTTTTTTGTATTTTTATACTTTTGCGTGTTTTCATTTTTTTAATTTTTATTAATATTTAATTATTCCATCAAGGGTTAATACATTAGACCCAAAAGGTTGAATTGTTGACTTTCTACTATACAGGAAAACTTGACATTTGAATTGCTTTTAGATTTGTATTTTATTTCCATCATTAATAAAAACAATTATTCTTTGTCATACTTATTTTTTCCTAATATGATTAATTAATTAATATAAAATATTAGAGTTATGCCCAAATATTTTCTACATTTTTTTTGTGTTTATATCTTTTTAATTTTTATTACTTAATTATGACTTTATGGGTTGATACATTTGACATGAAAGGTTGAATTGTTGACCTACCACCAAATAGGAAAACAATTTCACATTTGGGTTAGCTTTAAATTTTGTATTTTATTTCCATCATCAATAAAAAGTTAAAAATAGTTACTAATTTTCATGTTAAATTTTTAATATGATTAATATAAAATATTAGAGATATGTGTCCAAATGCTTTTTACAAAGTTTCTATATTTTTCCTATTTTTTGTATTTTTATATTTTCTAATTTTATTATTTAATTAAGAGATCAAGGGCTGACACATATGATAAAAAAGGTTGAACTATATCTACCACTAGGAAAACAAATTTATTTTTGGCTCAGATTTAAATTTTATATTTTATTTCCAACATCAATGAAAACAACAATTATTTATGGCACTTATTTTTCTTTATTATGATTAATATAAAATTTCAGATGAAGTACCTAAATGTTTTTATAAAATTTTAGTATTATTACATAATTTTTTTGTGTTTTTTTAATTTTCTTAACTTTTATTTAATTATGACATCAAGGGTTGATACGTTTGACTCAAAAGGTTGAATTATTGACTCACCATCATGAAAATAATTTTTTATTTTGGATTGGTTTTAAATTTATACTTTATTCCAACACCAAGAAGCATAATTATATTGTCCTACTTATTTTTTAATATGATTAATATAAAATGTTATAGATGTGCCCAATTTTCTATAATTTTTATTTATTTCTATTTTAAAAGTTTTTATTTAATTATGATATCATGGATTGAACCATTTGACTCGAATGGTAGAATCATTTACTCGCCACAAATATGGAAGAGTGGCTCTATTTTTAGATCAACTTTAAAAGCATGTATTTTATATCATTAAGCATTGGATATAGATCTAATTGATAGAATTTATTAGTGAAAAGAATAGCATAAATATAGATTCAATGTGGGAATGAAAGTTAATACCCTAAATATAAGACTTAATGAGAGAGAATTAAATGAGGAAAAATGTAATAGTTCAATTTACATTTTTGTAAGTACAATTAGAGAGGGAGCACATTCAAAAATTTGGGTATTTTAGTCAAACAAAGTTCCATTCTCTCATTCATACTTTTAGTATAGTAAAGATAGTATTGAAAAATATAACCAAACTAATGATCCAATTAAACTAGTCTATTGGCAAGTGTTACTAATGAATTGGATCTAGATTCAACATAATTTTTAGTATTTCCATTATTATCTGGTGACACTTATTCAACTAATAATTAACTACCTCCATTTTCTTGGTTGTACATAGTACACAACCAAAGACTTGGACGGGGACGGGGCAAAAGGTGATTTAGACTTATGGATCATTGTTGGCAGCATACCTCATTTTTAATTTGGTTGTTAGTTTTAGACCTTCTAGATGCAAATTCTCTTCATGGGTGTGATATGGTAATAGATAACTAAAATCAAATTCAGCTGCATTGCCCTTGCTTCTACTCTCTTTGTAATGTGGAGTGATGAATGCGACCTTCTCTGTGCCCAACAGTACAAATGTTGGGTTTTTTAAACAAGAGAATGAGAAAAGAAATTTCGGAAGCAAGTTTTTCATTCATTTGTCTCAAAAGATATACAAGGCTACTTATATAAAGTTGGGATGAGACAAGAAAAAAGAGGACTAAGGGAAACATGCATGTGGCCCAAATCTAACATATCCCAGCATAAACATAAAGACAATTTAAGAAATTACATAACAAGACAAAGTAAATATATGGACCCAAGTGGGTAGTTAAAGGAGTAAGACATGTTTGAAGTATTTCTAACTATTAGTTTCAAAAAAGGCTAGAAAAAATGCATTAATTGAATATGGTAATTATATCATATTTACAGACTAAAATAGATCAAACATATTCGAACTCTTAGACTCTATCTAGGACTCTATGTAATCTATCTTAATCCATCTCAAACTCAATGATAACATAACAAATTCTATCTTACTGAGAACTCGTATTGTAACTCTATTCAACATCACCCTTATCATAACAGTCCATATACTAAATCTTATCTTAATTCCCTAACACACCCCCTCCAACACATGGAGATAAAAAATATCCACGTGTTTGATCACAAATGCCCACAATATGACGATAACTATGTAGATAATGATGATCTTGATGGTGTCCTATTGTGAATATGATAACATGCCTGCTGGAATGATAATGATGTCATGGCAAATGATGGCCAGTTGTATGATGGCATGATGAGAACCTGTGATGATGTATCAAAATCAGGAAGTTTGTTGTGATAAAGTAATGATGACATGGCCGTGCTGATAGCATGATGACAAGTACATATTGCTTCCTTAAGAGAGAGCCTCCGTGGGCTGATGGTAAAAATTGTCAATGACCCAACCATGTGCCAAACTGAAAATAGGCCAAGAAAAGACCTTAATGGGTCAATCAAAGTGCCTCTATGGACCGGCTTCTTAAGCTAATCTGAAAGTGGGCCATATTCGGCCAATACCAAACTAGGCCAACAAGGGCCAACAACCACCATGGGTTAATAAAGAGCCTCAATAGCCAAAACTGAAGATGGGCCACTGTAGTCCGAAAACAAAAAATGCCTTAGTGGGCTTTTTCTAATCTTCAAAGAATTCTGCCCACGCAAGTTACAACACTTTATCTGTGTACGGGGACCATCGCCCCATGAATGAAAACATGGGGCAACTTCAAGTACGGAAGATATTCATTATGAGATACGCGACTCCAATGTGCTGTGAGGTAGGTGTGAAGAGGAAATCCGAACTTCCTCTCCACGTTGGGAGACTTGACTCTCAACCCTGTATCCTAAACCACAGGTGACCCACTAACAGTTATATGAAGCAACATTGTCTGCTACAACCACATTGTAGCAGACAACCACTCGTGATCGCTTCTGCATGGAGGTGTCAACGATCAAACTCCTTGAACTGAAGCTGGAAAGATTGGGGCATCAGCAACGTCGTCCCTCATAGAAAATTTTTCTGTCGAAATAATGTAAGAAGCCATCAATCTTCAAAGGAACCAAAGGGAGATACTATTGGTTGCTATCACTGATGGCTTAAAACAGGGGATGAGGCTGATCAGGTACTCATGGTGGAGATGTAAGATTTGCAACCATGGGAGAGATGGACTAGAGAAGAGAAGATGTAAGATCAGGTACTCAGGTCTCTTGAAGTGACCTAGTCATAGATGAAGTGAAAACTGATTTGGACATGCTAAGTTCAACCCTAAAAAATAGGATTGGCAGAGATATATGACCTCTGAGGTGACTCCAACAAGAGAACGAAACTCAACTTACATGCTTGTCCTAACAATTGTAGCTTACTTGTGTGCCTTTCTAGAAATGGTGTTAGATCCCAATAAAACATATCCACTTATAGATTTACGATCATCTAGCATTTTGCCCAATCTACATCATTAGAGAGAAGAAGAAGAAGAAGAAGAAGAAGAAGAAGAAGAAGAAGAATGAAGGCCCATATCAATGGTACCCTTGAGGGATTTGAGGGTCTGAGTTACAAAGAGAAAAAGAAGAAGAAGAAGAATGAAGGCCCATATCAACGGTACCCTTGAGGGATTTGTGGGTCTGAGTGACAAAATCCCAACGAACATCAATAAGAATTTGAAGGAACTATAATAGGCTTTGTTCACTATAAATGCTATATTAGGTCTAGTAATGGTAGCATATTGAATCATGAAGCACTTCCACAATGCTTCTATATTCATAATGATCATGAAGAGGGATAACATCAACCTTAGAAAGCTTGGAATGGAGTAGGGAGGGCATATAGATGGGTTTGGCTCCGTCCATGTCGCAAAGACATAGCAGATCATAGATACACTTATGTTGAGAAAGAGAGAGAGAGAGAGTAAACCTTTATCAGTCCATTGAATCTCAAACCCTAGAAAATTAGGAATATGACATCAACATAAACTAAGAAGAAAACTGCAACATCATTCAACTTGTGTATAAACAAAGATGAGTTACCAATGGAAGGGTGGAAACCAAGAGCAAGAAGCTTGGAACTTGAGAGAAAACATCATCATGTTGAAGTTGTGATGCTAAGAAGCTTAGAACTTGAGAGAA